GAAAAGGCTATTGAAAATGTATCGATATTTTTAAACAAAAGGACATGTTAGATTAGATAATTTGCAAGATTAATTGGCACACTGGTTGCCACCAAAAACCTGTTATAAAATGTGGCTGGCTCCATCTTAAAAACTTAGAATGTGAAAATTTTTTAGCTCTTTTTCGTAATAAAAACAATTACAACGCAAAAATGATAAATATTTGTAGAGCGAAATTACCTGGTAGTTGAATAATATTCCAAAGAGTAAAAATAAAGCTTTTAAAATGGAAATTTTTTCTGACGCTTAGCAAAACACATGGATTCTAGAACGCAAAAGAAAACTGTTTCATATTAATTATATAAAGTTAGTAGCAGCGTTTAACGCCTTAAAAACATTTGCAAAATTTCTAACAAAAATATTTTATTGCTAATTGATAATGTTACAGATATTGCAAGTATTAATAAAGTGGGAAGCATTGAATATAAAGATTTAAATGATATTTCTCGACAAATATGGGACTGATATGAAACCAGAAATATTTTCATATACCTAATTAGACTAAGTTAGTGACAGTTATTATAGCATAACGCATATCTATGACAATACTAAATTTGTTGGTAGCAAAATTGGAAAACTTTCCTGCTACCTGTATTTGGCACATATCTTTCTTCAAAATTTATCACTCTTACCTTCAATTGTATAAACATCTACATGTTTTGTGTAGAATAACCTACCAAATAGAAATATTCTCCATAATATGCTTGTATACAGGGTGATTCAGTCATAATGTCATTAATTTTAATCACGTATTCGGAAGGCTTAATAAAGACAGAATATCGGAAAAAAAATTTTTTACTCGACTTTTAAAAATGAAGGAAATCAACCCATAACTCCCGCTAAGAAGGCGGCCCTGCCAGATGCCCGGATGCTCGGAAAATTTTGTAACGTAATGTCACGAACAAACCGCCAGCTGAGGCGAACAGCGTTGCCAAGTTCACATCATAATCACATTTAATTTTGCCGCTTTAGTATACGGATACATATGTACGAAACCAATAAAATGCAAGTAAATAAAGAGTCATGCTGCATTTTATTATAACTAATTTTAATAATTGTATTAACTTAGTGCAAAATATTTTAACAAGCCTTACTTCTCGAAGTCAACTTTCGTTAAAAGAACATAAATAAAGCAGAGGTTTGTAGGCACACTGAATTTTATCAAATAAAAAAAATCGGCGCAACCGAATATACAAAATACACTACACACGGTTACAAAACCATTACCTAACAATTTAAAGCGTTTATTCAAATCTACCACCCTCCATATCTCCCGCATTTTTCCCGCAAAGGAGTTAGCATAACACATTTCCAAAAAGTTCAAGCTTTAGAAGCAGCTGATTTCCCCAATCGTCCTGAATTTTGCAATTGGTTCCTGAATCGAAGTGCAGCAGAACTTTATTAACAAAGTGCTCTGGACGGATGAATGATATTTTACTCGTGCTGGCATTTTAAACAGGTAAAAAACATAAGTATTGCCTTCTCAAAAACAATACCTAGGTTACACCAAAGTTTAGATATACACTAAAGTTTACATTTATTATGTAAACTTTGGTTATACGCAACTGCATATTGAATAATAAACTGAAATACTAAAACTGTGTATTATTTAACATAATAAATTATAAAACGTCAAAACGTTAATAATATTAAAAATGATAAATTGTAATAACCGTACATTCGAAAACAATCATCCCTATTCATTGATGACACGATTTTCCATAGATTAAACACCGACAACTTTTTGCGACGACACTAAAGTGTACACGTGCAAATTAGAAGGTTATTGAACTCGACAAAGGTTGACATAGGTCGGAAATACGGACCGAGTTGTTTATTTGTCTCCGTCCGATTGTATTTTTATCTTCTATTACTTACAGTCAATATTTAAATACTACATACATTTCACCCTCTCTTTATAATTTATCTAGTGAGTGTTGGTTTTTTATGTCATTATTTCTGTAATGAAATTGAAATGGTTATTAAATGAAATTTAAATTATTTGAACTCTTGGGGTTTTGTAATTTCAATATTAAATTTTATTTAAAGTGAAATGAAGCTAATTTCTTTGCAGCCATAATAATCACATTGGGTCACCCGCACACTACTCGTCGGTTTAGCTTTCAGAGGAGGTTGGGTGTCAATGTATGGACAGGAGTATATGGCGATCGTTTAATTGGGCCGCATTTTCTACCTGTACATCTGAATGGGCCACGTTGCTTTCAATTTTTAGTAGAAGGCTTAGAGCAAATTAAAAAATTATCACTATGATGTTAATAAAAAATGATTTTTGGCAAGTCATGCTCAGACCTCCTCGAGATTCTTGCTGGGTAACAATAACAATTTAATATGTTGATTGCATAATTATAAAAAAATAATTTATAGCATTTTAAATTATTATTGGCTGACGTGAGCAAACCGTTTATTTATTGTCTTTATATGTGCGAAAATATATAAATATGGCAACATTGCATCTAGGTCGCTTTGTTCATATCGTAGCCGGCTGACGTCAGCCGGTCAGTGATAGCCTGAAAAGGGGGTTAAATAATGATTTGAAAATATTTTTTTTCAGCTTAAATATACATTTAATTTTTTTAAATCACGCCATCGTATTATACTCATTTTTCTCTATCTGCTCTTAAAATTAATGACATTATGACTGAATCACCCTGTATACTTTCCCAAATTGCTTCTATATTTTCATATTTTGTAATTGATATTATTCTCTCATATAACCCCCACTCCATGTATAGCCAGAAATTCTTGATTTTTTAAGTGACCAGATAATTATTTTGCTTTGTGGTTAAATTCACTTTTCATTTTTGAAATTATTTGGAACATATTAATTTTTTTATGTTTATCACGATTTACACCGACCCTGACATTTTAATTCGTCTGTGAGGACGCCATATTTAAACAAATCAGTGACAGTAGCGTGAAACGCGTATCATTTTAATTAAATTAAAATTTGCCATTTCAGTGCAGGTCATAAAAGCGACATGAGATTTGGTTCAGCGGGCAGAAAATACAATAATGTCTTGTCGTGTTACACTAATTACGAATTATAATTTGTACAAAGCCCGCAAATATTTTCAGCGGACAAAATGTAACGCGAATTATGAAATCAAAACAGACAGAAGTAAAGAGTGAAGTAGAATAGTGAACTCTGCAAAGAAAACTATAGTTTGTTATGGTTACTACTAAGTAAAATTTAGTGAGTGAATGTTCTGTTAAATTATCTTAGTAAGTGCATCCTCTGAAAGTATTATATTTACAAAATAACTCTCATTTAGGCAATGTATAGATAAATATTTCTACACATTTACGCCACCTATACGATTATTCCTATCAGCAGCAGTAGAGTTTTTTGTTGTGGCAGTGTTTTTTTACCCTATCCTAGAGTACTGAAAAGGTGGCCATACACTGCGGCATTTATAAACTTCAAAATTAAATTTTAAGTAGATGACAAACATTTAGGCGGAGAAAACATTATATAATTTCCAAACATTCTGTTGCATGAGAATGACTGACGCGAACAACGTATCAAATAACGATATATATAAAGCTTTAATGAATCTCACTGCCCAAAATAAGGAAATTAAGGAGGAAATTACGTCGCTAAAAAAGGAACTAGAAATAAAAACTAATCAAGTACAGAAAAACTATGAAGAATTATCAGAGGAGAATAAACAACTTAAACTAAAAATTCGACTCAATGAAAGAAGAGCCAGAAAGAATAATATCATCGTATATGGCTGTCAGGAATATGAAAACGAAAACGTTATAAACACTATCTTGGCGTTAATAAATGAAAAATTAGATGTAGAATTAACTATACCAGAAATAAATAATGCTTATCGGTTAGGAGTAAAGAAAAGTAATACCAGAAGTCGACCGATCCGATTAGAGCTTATCTCATACCTAAAAAAATCAAATATAATCAGTCAGGCTAACAAACTGAAAGGAACGAATATAAATATTGCTGACGATTTGTCAGCTGAAGATCTCCAAGAACGTAAGCTTCTCACAGAACATTTGACATACGCAAGGAAAAAGAATATTCCGGCAAAAATCAAAAACTTTAAATTAATTGTCAATGGGGAAGCATACTCCTATGAAGATTTAAAAAAAACTCATTTGGAAGAGACTGACGCAAAAAATGAGATAGATATAAGTACCCTTTCACCCCCACTTCAAAGGAAAAACTCAAGTTTACCCTCAACTCCTGTTACCACTGAAGAGGTTTTTTCAGACATACTTTGTAGTGGCAACAAAGAAATAAAACAAAAAAACCCGACAAAACACACCCAAAATTCCAAAAATGCTCCCGTACCAATAGCTGAAGTTGCCAGTCGTCTATCAAAAAAAAGTTCATCAGGTGATACAATTCGATCCTCAGAAAGGATTGCTAAGTCCGATAAGAAACATTAATAGTTCCATGTGTTTGTTAGTAGTAAGTAAGTAGAGGTCCATATATGTATAATGTGTTTGTCTCCACCCATCAGAAGAGATACTTAGGATTCCAATTTATGTCGTTGATGTAGGCATAAATAGTATTGTATATTGTTAATTCTGATGTGCAAAATTGTGTATAATTAATTATATCTCTCCTTTTGTTTTCTTAAATACTTCTTTTGGTTTTATATTAATCATGGATCCTTATATTAGAGATTTTAATACTAATGAAATTGACACCATAACTTTAGACTCATTATCTGAGTGTAACGAAGTTCTTAAGATCAATAGAGGAAATATAAATTTTAAAGTGCTTCATAATAACATAAGAAGTATAAACAAAAATATTAACGAATTTCGCTGTTACTTAGAACAACTCACGGAAATTCCTGAATGTATTATTCTAACAGAAACTAGACAATTGGACGATATACACTTGTTTAATATACCAGGTTACAGTATTGTATATAACTACGGAACAATTAATCAAAATGATGGTACTATAATATACTTAAAATATGGTATTGAATTTTTACATAAGTTGATTCCTCTTGCCAATGGAAATAAATTGATTCTAGTCGAGATTCAGTTTCAGCAAAAAAATATTAATATTTTGGCTGGGTATAGATCACCTTCTACTGAGCCTTTGGAGTTTGTGCGAGATCTGAAACAATACTTTTCAAATAGCAATTTGGATAAGGCTGACTATTTTCTGTTTGTGGGTGATATAAACATTAACATACTCGAAAATGAACTAAGTGAACATGTAGGGGAATATCTGAATAATCTGTGTGAATTTAATTTTGTTTCTGCAATAAATGATTTTACGAGAGTGACAGAAAATAGTCGGTCTTGCTTAGACCATGTTTTTATTAGGACTAAATGCGATTATGAATACTTATTACCTTTTGTGATAAAAACAAAACTAACTGATCATTATACGGTACTTGTTCAAATTATTTTTGAAACTAGTAAGATTTCCAAAAAAGATATAAAAATAAATAGAAGAGTTGACTATAAAGAACTTAGCGAAGGCATGACCCAAATTAGTTATAATGAAATTTATCAAGCTAACAGTATTGAATCGGGTTTTGAGAAACTTCTATATATTATTACAAAAGAGATACAAAAATCCACTTACATTATAAGGAAATCAGAAAGGAAGCGCAAAAGTTGGATCACGCAGGGTATTATTAATTCAATAAACAAAAGGGATAAAATGTATAACCAGTTATTGGAAAGATTTGACATTAATTTAAAAAATCGATACCTAATTTATAGAAATCGTTTAAATAATGTAATTAAATCTGCTAAGATGAATTATTATAAAAATAGAATTGCGCAAAGTTCAAATAACAATAAAGCGATGTGGGAGACTGTGAAGGAATTAACTTCGTCTAAGAAAATATCAAGGGATATTCAATACGTTAATCACAATGAAGAAACTATAAAAGATAAACAAACTATGTCTGACGTATTTAATAACCATTATGTTACTGTGGGTCAAAAATTGGCAGGTAAAATTATTAATCAGCCAGAAGTCAATTCAACATCAAATTATTTTAATCATTTTGAATCCATATTTCTTAAACCAACAACATTAACTGAAATAAATAATATAATACAATCACTCAAAAGTAACAAGTCGCCTGGTGAAGATGGAGTTACAGGGGAATTATTAAAATGCATGGGTCCATTTCTGGGTGAACCTTTAATGTTCTTAATTAATAAATGCTTTGAAGAAGGATACTTTCCTAATGCATTGAAAACATCTATGGTAATACCAGTATTTAAATCTGGCGATCGTGCTGATGTTGTTAACTACCGACCAATATCGTTAATTACAACTTTATCTAAAGTCTTTGAAAAGATAATAAAAGAAAGATTATGTACCTACCTTGAGAGACATCAGGTATTATCACCAAGACAGTATGGTTTTAGAGCTGGGGTATCTACGCAAGATGCTATTCTTCATCTTACTTCCAATATATATTCGGCTATGGACGACAACAAAAAATCCCTCAGTGTATTTATAGACTTGTCAAAAGCGTTTGACACTGTAAGTCATGATCTGTTGTTAAACTGTCTGGAAAGAGTGGGTGCTAGAGGGGTGTCATTAAACTTTTTCAGGAGTTACCTCACTCATCGTTATCAGTTTGTGGCAATAAATAATTATCGTAGCGAATTAAAACGGATCACGTATGGAGTCCCTCAGGGCTCTGTATTAGGTCCTATACTGTTTAACTTATATATAAATGAGTTATTCTGTCTGCCCACTATGGGAGATATTATAGCATACGCAGACGATACATGTATTTTCTACAGTGACGATGACTGGGAAACTGTCACAAGAAAAGCTGAAAAAGATCTAGCTATAATATTTAAATGGTTTAAATCAATGTTGCTTACAGTAAATTATGATAAAACGCGAGTTTTACATAATTATGTTGATGTTCGTTCCTCACCCACTGTTCAGTTTCTGACTATTTCAGACGATATCGTAATCAATTCGGTCAGAGAATTTAAGTATCTCGGTGTCATATTAGACAATCACCTAAAATGGGATAAGCACATAAAATATATTTCTAATAAGGTAAGATTCTTGTTTCATAAGTTTAAAGTGTTAAGGGATATACTTGACCATGATTCTCTGATAATTATTTATAATTCATTGGTTCAATCGCACCTAATTTATGGAATTGTAGCCTGGGGAAATGTAAGTAAGAGTATATTGCGTAATCTGGAAATAGTACAAAAAACAATTATTAAAATCATGTTTAAAAAAATATCTACTTACCCTTCGGATGATCTTTTTATTGAAGCGTGTTTGATGGACCTGCGGCAACTATTCTTCTATTTCCTAACTATACATCAACACAAAAATAAAAGTCAATTAATAGTCAGCGAACATAAATATGAAACAAGAAACAAAGGTAAAATGTTTGTAACTCAAAGAAAGAATAAAAGCATAGGACAAAAAAGTCATACTTACCTTGGTCCGAGGTTATATGCCTTATTGCCAGATAAAATACAGTCCATGAAATTTACAGTTACTTTAAAAAAAGCGCTAAAAAACTTTATTTTCTCTGTTGCTAGAAAGGATATCCATGATGTTGTGGAACTAAAATCGATTAATTGTTCAGTATTTGCTTAATATGTACGTGTTCTTATGTATATTACATGTTATGGTGTAAATTGTAAATTGTATCTTGTAATACTATTGATTGATGTGTGGACTGTGTATAATCTTGTTGTTATTATGTTGAAATTGATTCTATTTGTTTGTTAGGTTTTGTCTTTTTTTTTTTACCTTCCCCACGCACAGGCTATGCCTATAGTGCGTGTACTGCGTTTATTCTTGTTATCTGTAGTATTCTTGTTATTGGTTTTACTGATCTTGTTATTGCTCTTTTGTAATTTGTTAACTTGTTGAAATGAATAAACATTACATTATTATTATTATCATTAAAAGAAACTGTATTTGGGAAGCGGCGCGCGCTCGCTCTGAAAACTGATGACGTGCAGTCTAAATGGCTCGCGCTTGCAAAATCTTTGATATCTCGGCATCTGGACCACATACAAAAATTCTTTTGTACTTAATCTGGGGTAGCTAAACACGAATATTATAGTCATTCTCGCCTTAGAAGCAAAATAGTTCCGTAAATGTTTAGTTTTTATTTAATTTACATTTTGTTGCATTTATCTCATTTTAATAATTAATAATATTACAGTATTTTTCGTGTAATACCTTAATTTTTTTGCTTTATTAATCATGAATCATCTGTTTGTTTTCTTTTCTTTTCCTCAATTCTGACTTGTGTAAATACTTTTGTATGATTAACACCAATAAACAATGTCTAATGTCTAATGTCTAATGTCATACTGACGTACTTGTTGCTGGCTTTTTAACAATTACTTCATCATTTCAATAATTAATTAATTTTGGTGTAAAATAAGTTTAAAGAATTGAATTTATTTACAAAAATATTTAATAATTATACAACTACGTATAAATATCTACATATAAAATTATTACAATGAAAACTAATAAGTATCCTATATAGATACAATTATTTATAGAATGAAATTCTTCTTTTCTTTGTCGGATTGTCTTTTGATTAATTTTCTTATTCGTTGTCCATATTTTCGTGAAGAAGTATAATAAAAGTAAAAAAATAAAAGTTAAATAAAAACTAAACATTTACGGGACTATTCTGCTTCTAAGGCGAAAATACTATAATATTCGTGGTTAGCTACCTCAGATTAAGTAAAAAAGAATTTTTGTACGTGGTCCAGAAGCCGAGATATCAAAGATTTTGCAAGCACAAGCCATTTAGTCTGCGCGTCATCAGTTTTCAGAGCGAGCGCGCGCTGCTTCCCTCTACTTCTCCGTCCGATCCAGCTGGCGCACTCAGCGCCTGCACGCTTCAGTTTATTACTCAATTACTAATACTAAAAATCAAGTAAACATATCCTACTATTTTATTTTTTGAAAATATAAGTATTCATTATTAACCTCCATCAAGCGCATAGCTGTAAAATGTCAATTGTGTCCTCAATTTTTTTTTTTAATAAAAAAATTATCTCGGCTCCAGAAGGTCGTAGAAAAAGATTTTTTTTAAATTCGAGAAAAAATTTCAGCAGTTTCTTTCTTTAAAAGTGATTTTCATAAAATTTTTTATTTATTTTTATCCTTAAAATTAATAAAATCGTCAACATTTTTTAACAGCATGATAATATACCTCTATACGAAGAAAATAAACCGAAAATCGTCACTGTGGGGCTATTCGCTGAGAAGATCTAGACAATTTTCGAAAGCGCCTTTGTTTGAAAAAATCGATATATCTCGAAAAATAATTAATATTCTTAAATTTTTCAAATAAGTACTTTTTTGGCTTGCCGCGGGCTATGCTTGCAGTAAATAGCAAGTATGGGAACGTAGATGTAAACGAGTTATAGAAAAATTTAAGAGAAGATTTTTAACGGTTTTTTCGATATGCCTCGAAAAGTAACAAAGCAATCGATACTTACAAAAAATCAATCAATAGATCTTTTTAAAACCTACAACCTTCTCATTAAAAATTTTTCAATCGGTGCTATATTTTTTAGTTATTTTAGAAAAACCGTTTTTTGCAACTTTGCGATATTTTTTAACCATGTTCGCCATTTTGGATCGAGTTTAAAGAATAAGAAACTCAATTTAAAATTTAATTTTCCATACGGTCATATTTTTTTTGTCCAGGTAATAATTTCTGCAAATTTAACATTAATCCGTGACTGAATGCTTGGACTAATATATCTACAACAAATGGAGAAATACTAGTACGGTAAATAATAAATTAAAAAGAAATAAACCCCACAACGTTATAACTGAAAATATGCAAGTCATGATTTTACTTTACTTTCAAGAAAACCCGAAACTTTTGATTCAAGATGCCTTAAGGTATTTGGAAATATCCTGGAGAATCAGAGTGTATTGAAAGTAAAAAATATAAACCATATTGTTATCGCCTGGTACAAAAATTATATGGAAATTACACTAATAGGCGACGCGAGTTTTGCCAAATAACGCTAGATAGATTTACAAAATGAAGGATTTTTAGGTTCGTAATGCTGCTATTGACACTATTACATTGGCGCAACAACAACTATTAATACTTTTACTGTTACTACTACAATTACTATTACTAAGTATCACCAACGTCAACAGTATAGTACCACTGCCATCATGTTTGATATTGCTATTGTTATTTGTTTTTATAATTCTATCTTACGGACTGATGGGCCACTTTTACAAGTAGCGCTTTTAATAGAAGGAATTCACATCACTGGGCGTCAGAAAATACACACCAATATCTCTATTCAGAGGCAAAACAGGTCCAGTATTTTATCTATTTAATAGACTGAAAACATTGAACTTCTCAGAAGAGAAATATGTAATTTGGTAAATGCTCTTGATGTGCAAAATATTGTCTGGCAGCAACACGGTGCTCCAACATTCAGAATAAATGCCGTTAAACAGCACCTAGGCAATACTTATATTGACTGGATAGGTGCCAACGGTACAATTTTGTGGCTTCCCCGAAGTACAGACTTAACCCCTATGGACTTTTTTCTCTGGGATACTCTAAAGAATAGAGTATATCAAGTGAGAACAAATAATGTAAATCACCTGAAAGAAATATATCTCAGGAAATCCGCATTTTAAATGAATCTGGTCAAGTCAATAATTTTAAGAGAAATTTAATTAAAATGTATAATCTTTGTCTTGCGCATAATGGGAGCAATTATTGAAAATTTTTTATATATGTATTCGTTAATAAACTCCGAAGTTTTTCTTTGACTACTTATTTAAAATAGAGCATAAATATCAAATATTATAATTTTTTTCCACAGCAATATTTATATTGCCCATTGCGAGATTCAGACTTTCAAAGCAGAATATTGAGCAAATTGTTAAGTAAACCCACAACATATATATTGTTATGGGTATAAATATGTATTTATGTTTGCGCCAATATTTTTATGAGTAGTGATATGTATGGGTATGTAATATGTTTGTGTAAATGTTTATGCTGTAATTTAGGTTGTCAATTTTACCCTGGCTAACTTTCGACCCTTCTCAGTAGTGAGTTCTAGTGAGGTACAAACTCTGCAGGAAACCACACAACACACCACACTAAACAAAAGATATTATTTAGAAATTAATTTATTTATTAGATTTTTTATATATATATATAACAATAAAATTATTAACTGTAAAATGTCAGGCACAATTTAAGGAATATTTGGAATTATCCTACAACACTTTTGTAACACTTTGAGAAATATTTTATATAATTGTATTCAATTCGATTTATTATAATGTATTGTTGGTTGCCTATAGATTAAGCGATAAATTTTGATCTTAAAATTTCTTTCTCAATGTGTTACTGAGCTTATTTCAAATCTTAATATGATGCTTTTATGTTCGCTGGTGTCAGTGATACAGCTATTTATTTCAAACCATTAGCGAAATATAAGGTGCTAATGCGCATGTTTTTTCGTTCAAGAGACCTGAACGGAGCTGTGTTTGAATTTCTCATTTTAAGATTATGAAATTTCACACTAATAGCAGCTGAAATATTTTTAGCATCAATATATCAACCATAGCGTTCCCATTCTTAAATACTACGGTGGTCTAGAGGTAACGGGCTCGCTTTGGAATCCAAAGGTTCGGGGTTCGAATCTCAGGCAGAACAAGACTTTTTTAATTTAAATAAAATTCGAAACCAACTTTAAATTTACCGTCAATTGCAGCCCACCTCTCTCCTTCACTCCGATCTCTATTGCGCAAGCGTTTAAACCTAGATATTTGAATTTACCACCAACTGCTGTTTGGAATTCATTGACCTCCCTATCATGACTGGATTTTAAATTTACCGCCAATTTGTTGCGCTCTGATTGACTGGGCGGTGAAGGGGAGGGGGAAGGTAAAAGGTGTAGGAGAGGGGGTAAAATTCGTCAAAAATGACCAGGATGAACCTTCATAAGAAAATACATGGGATTTTGGCTCTGAACTCACATAGCTTATCTACTTCTATCAAATTTTAAAATGGCCAAATTTTTATAATTATTCAAATAGTGAAATTAAATTTATTTAATATCAATTTGGAACGAAGATTTTGTGTTGTTATCGAATTTATTTTTAGGAAATACTACTTGAATGTTGTTATTATTATTCTATATATTTTTCTATGACTATAGATTGTATTTTTCAATCTCCTTTTGCTAGCTAGCTTCTTATACGATTTTGTAATACTTTGTGCACAAAGTTACCTCTATGTATGTCTTGTCAATATTTTTATTGTCGAACTGACTTTCCTCTTGTACTCGGCCTGGATATTGTCCTGGAATCCTTGTCTTTCTGCTGTTAATGGATATCCGGAACCTGCTGCTGGAATCCTCGTCTTTCTGCAGTTAATGGATCTCCGGAACCTGCTGCTTACGTTATTTGTCTGGAATCTCGTTCTTGAATCCTCGTTTT